GAATTTTAAATACCAGAAATAATTTAATATAGTAGTAAAATTCAGGAGAATTTTTTTTTTCTTAAGGAGGGAGAAGTTATGTATACGAATATTGGTAGAAAGGAAAAATAAAACATTATTTTTATGCATGTAGATACTTTACCTGCAATACAAGTTTTAACATGTTGTTTTGTTTCAATAGGTATCCTTATCATGTTTTGATTTCTTTTGTTCAAAAACAAAAATGATTAGACTAGACAAATCATAAAATATTCAATGTAAACTAAATAAACAAAATATAATAAATATTGTACTCTAAAAATTAAATCATAAATAAATAAAGATCAGTCTGGTTATATTTTGATAATAATATTATTGTAAGTCTTTGTCTAATTACATTTTAATTACAAATTTGGAAATATAAATAGAGATAAGAAAAAGAAAGTTCTTAGTTCTAATTTTGATAAGTCTTAAGACAAATTGCTGTCCGATCACGGATTAATATTAAATAGTTTCTTTGTTAAATTGTAAATTAATATTAAGATTTAAAAACTACTTGTGAATGGTTTATTCAGTTTGAAATAAAATAAAAAAAAAGAAAATAATTAAATAGTTTTTTTTTAAATAAAAGATTGTACGAAAACAAAAGTCGCGTATTAAAATTTTTAAGCATACTTCTTCAACAACCTTAACAGTAATTTTTCAAAATTATAACACAAATTTTTAATAAACTGATACATCGAATGAATGCGAGAATCAAAAAACCACAATCAAATTTCAACATCTCTTATCTTAAAACTTTTCATTTTCTCATCCACCAATACACAATTTTCAAAACGATTGGATCATTTTTTGGAGTTTTGTTTTCCAATTAAAAAAATAATATTAAATCTTAATAAGCTTAAAGAACATAAATTTTATTGGAAAATTTAATTTAACGCAAGAAGCAACTTATTTTTTCACATATTCGCATCGTTTTGCATTGTATATGTTATAATTTTATTAAAAAGCAATTCTGTAAAAGTACATTAGCGGATTTTAAAATTTATTTTGAATAGCGGAATCGCTTGGATGCAATATAAATACACTGAATTGCGGATTTAAAACAAAAAATATCTATGCTTTTTATTATTATTATAAATCTCACTGCGCTTTTTATTATTATTATACACCGAATATCACTTCATTCTGCTCTTATTTATTTTAAAGAAAATTTAACACTTTTTTTGAATTGGTTGAACATTCATAACAAAAATTAATTGCGGAAAATGTCAGAGGAGTTTGAGATCAAGTTCAGCAAAAATCAACTGCAGTGGATCTTGTGGTAGATATTTTCATCCCAGTTGCCACAATTTGATTGATTATGATATTAAATTGTTGGCGGAAAAATCAAATTTTAATTTCCACTGCGATGAATGTTTGAATTTTAAAGACCTGGTGTATAAAAAGATTTGCAATGTAGAAAACATTATGTGTGATATGAAAAAAGGAGTTGATAAAGTTATGGATGATGGTGAAACTTTTAATGAATATTTAAAGAAAGTTACATATGCTAATAAGAGTGAAAATAAATTTACTTACGCGAATATTGTTAAAAATGACCCAGTTCTATTAATAAAACCAAAAAAAGTTCAAACATCGGCAGAAACCAAAACAAGCTTGAAACGTCATGTTGACCCAGTAAACTTCAACAATGATGCAGTGTCAGAAAAAAAGGATGGCACTACAGCAGTGTTCTGTCAAGATGAAAAATCGATACATTGTTTAAAAAATCAGGTTGAAGAAAAATTAGAAGGTGAATACGTAATTATTGTGCCAAAAGAACGAAACCCTTAAATTTTAATCACTGGTATGACAGAAAGTTATGAGCAGATTGAATTACAAAATAAAATGATTAGACAAAATAATATTCTTCATAAGGAAGATATTAAGGTAATTAAAGTGTATAAAACTAATTACAATAAATATAGCGCTATTGTTCAATTGAATATCGAGGAGTTTAGGAATCTAATTAAAGTAGAAAAAATAAGAATGGGTTGGGACATTTGCAAAATTTATGAAAGTTTTGATACCAGAAGGTGTCACAAATGCAAAGATTGTAAAGAACAGAATTACATTTCCTACAAATGTGCAGGTAGTGATCATTTGTCTAAAAATCGTGTCGCAGATAAAATGCAATGTATAGCATGTATAAGAGCTAATAACTCATTAAAATTAAATTTCAATATCAACCCCAGTGTAAATAGTAAATCTTGTCCAACCTTATTGAGAAAGATACAAATTAATTAGTCGCAAAAATTTTCGTCTTCATTCGATCACAATAGAAAATCGTTAAACAGTATTTATCTTAGCATTGATGATAAAACAAGCCATTAAGCCTCTTTGGAGCACATAAATAGTAATAATGCCTTGGATTTAATTTTTTTAAGCGAAACCCATTTGACAACTGAAATTAATTATTGTGAAATAAGTTCAGATGGCTATAGTATTTATCGATGTTATTCCCATTCTCGATATACTGGCAGAGTAATTATTTATGTAAAAAATTCTATTGAAGTCTTGGATGATAAAAGTTTCGTATATAATGACCAATTATGGGTTCTTCAAATTAAAATTAAATTGAATAGTGAGTTCTGGTTTTTCAGCGTGATGGAACTATAATGGCATATATTAAAATATTATTCTTAACGAAACCAAATTTAGATACAGAGTGCAAAATTCTGAAAGCTGTAGAAGCTCATAATAATTCTATTCATTCAATAACTAAAATTAAATCGATAGATCTTATTAATAATAGAATTTCCAATTTTCAAGAAATTAAATATAAGTTACATCAAAAGAAAAACCAAAATATTTATCTGTTTTGGAGAAATATTTACTCGATTTAAAGGGATGGAAGTAAAATTTTTTTATGAAATAAAAAAAAAACAAGTTTTCCAAGTTGTAAAACTTACTTCTGAATCGAGGAAATTCTGTTTCTATAAATCAAAAAAATATTTTTTTAAATTTGAAAACATTTCTTTTTTTCAAATCCATATTGATTTCTTTATTTAAAAAAAAATCTCCATTTTATTGATTAAAAAATATTTCTATGTCGCTAAATTATTCCCATTTTTCTCTGATTTATGGGCCATTTTTCTTTGATTATGAGAAATTTTTTTTTCGGTGCATACAAAATACAAAATGTAAAGCCAAAAACAAATTGGATTATATTGAAATCACTTTGAATATGGATCAAATAAAAACATGTTCTTAAGGCTCTTGATCGTACTTATTTTACCAATTATTGATTATGGTAGTTTTATTTATAGATCTGCCAGTAACATTCTGCTTAAGTCTCTAGAGACAATTTTAAATACTGATATCTAGGTAACTACTTCAAGTCAAAGTCTTTTGAATATTAAATTTGAGAAGCAAATTGCAGGGCATGCTTTATGATCTTAAAATATAGTTCATTGAAGAAAATCCTTTGAACGATGAAACAAAACGAAGAAATCTACAATATACGTAAAAGAAGTCTTTTAGACCTTGTGCCCTCACGAATTAAAGAAAATTTGGAAGAAACTACTCAACAAAAAAATATTTATACTCAACAACTTTTCGAAAACCCTATTGGTTAAATACAGACTTAAACATATGCAGATAATATATCCTTTGGTAATTTTACAAACAAAACTACTTCGAAAGAATTATACAAAAAACTGTTTTTAGATAAAATTAAAACTAAATATTTATATTAGTACGTTGTTTACACCGACGTGTCTTTGTTAGATAATAAAACCGAATGTGGATTTAAATTCAATAAAGTCATTTGCTAAATGATACAAGCACATTTTAAGTCGAGTCGTAAGCAATACTGAAGGCTGTGAAATATATATACGAAAATTTTATACACAAAAAAGTGATAGTGGACTCTGATTCCCCGAGTGCCCTTATGAGTATAAGAATAATTTTTCATTTTTGTGGGTACCATAACATATGGATATAAAGGGAAATGATGATGCTGACTTATTATCTAAATGCTATAAATTCACCAATAGTAGAAAATTATGAACAAGCTTATACAGGCTATATATTTTTAATCAAGAATGGAGATAATCAAATCTATTAACCGTTAATCTATTAAACAGTTAATCCGTTTTGCACGGTACTCGTTTAAAAATTTAAAAACACATTTATTTTGATGTAACAAACTTTGTATGTACTTAAAAATTCGTGTGTACACTTTTTTCGTTTTTATACTCGTGTACGTTCATTTTTAAAAATAGGGAATTTACCTTTTTTGTATACATATATCTGTTTATACAAATCAGTGAAAATATTTTATTTAGTTTTTTTTGATTATCTATGCGATTCAGTTGGTGGGTTCCGCGTGGTTTAAAATTAATAGTTTAACATTTTTATTATTAAATATTTAAAAATTTTAGTTCCTAATAATGCCGAAGGATAAAAATAAAGAAATGAAAAGAAAAGTTATTTCATTAGAAAAAAAATTGAAATTTTGGACAAACTAACGGAATAACGAGAGAGTAGTAGATGTTGCTAGATCTTATTCATTGAATGAAGCAACAATACGAACAATAAGAAAAAATGAAGAGTCAATTAGAAAAAGTGTAGCGACTGGAATAGTATCAAGCATGAGTAAAACGTCAAATGTGAGAAATTTTGCAATAGAAACCATAGAAAAGCTTTAGCTATTTGGCTTGAAGATCAAAATCAAAAACGAGTTCCGATCGACACTAACGCCATAACAAATAAAGCTTTAAAAATTTATGAAAAAATTCAAAATGAAATGCCATCCACTAGTACTTTTTCGATTAAGGCGCCTTTTAATGCAAGTCATGGTCTGGTTCGAGAGATTTAAACAAAGGCATTCCTTACATTCCTTGAAATTAAAAGGAGAACAGGCTTCTGCTGATTCAGATGTAGCAAAAATATATCCAGAAAAATTTACTGAAATAATTTCATGTTGCCCAGATCAGATGTTTAATGCGGATGAATGTGGATTGTTTTAGAAGAAAATGTCTGAAAGAACCTTTTTAGCTAAGCATTGTAAATCAGCCAACGGTCATAAGGCGGCAAATGATCGAATAACGATTTTGTTTTGTAGCAACGCCTCTGGTGATTACATAATGGAGCCATTGGTGATTAACAAAGCGAAAAATCCACGATCTTTTAAAGGAATAAATATAAATAATCTTCCAGTGTATTGGATGACTAACAAAAGAGCCTGGGTTAACGCCTCTTTGTTTAGTGACTGGTTTAAGAACCATTTTATCCAAGATATAAGAAAATATTTAATTAACAAAGGATTGCCTTTTAAAGTGCTATTGTTATTGGACAATGCTCCAGGCCACCCTCAGGGCTTATGCTACGAAAACATTGCAGTTGAATTTTTACCGAAAAACACAACGTCGTTACTGCAACCCTTAGATCAAGGGATTATTGCAACATTCAAAGCATTATACATCAAAAGCACGTTTAGTTTTATTTTGGATCAATTGGAAAATGATGATTCTATATCAATTATCAATGCATGGAAAAAATTTACCATTTTAGATAGCGTTAAGCATATAGGAATATCATACCGTAAGATTAAAAAATCGACGCTCCATGCATGTTGGAAATCAGTGTGGCCTCAAGTTGTCGAAATTTTTGGACTCTAGAATATTTTTGGAACAAGAATACTCCAATATAATTGAGTTGGCTCACGCAATAGGTGGAGAAGATTTCCAAGATTTAAATGAGGAAGATATTATTAAAACCATGACAGACCAAGAACTAGACGAAGATGAATTAATTGAAATTGTGAGTAAAACAAGGCAAAAGTCTGAAAGTGATGTTGAAGCTGAGATTGATGAATGTGAAAAACATCTTTTTACAGCTAAAATTGTTCGAGAAGGACTTGCGTTAGGAAAGAAATTGGGAAATTATTTTCAACAACATGACCCGAATGTTGAACGAGCTCTTCAGTTTCAGCGAAAAATCAACGAAGTTTTAGCCCAGTATGAAGAGGAGTTAAAAGATTTAAGACAAAAGAAATCGCAATTATTAATTACAGAATTTATTTCTAAGTCTCACCGAACCGAAATCGTTTCTGAAGAGTCCTGTGTTGAAATATTATCGAGCGATGACAGCGAAATTAAGCAATTTAACAAAACAAGACTGATTGTTGAAAGTGATAGTGAAAACTCTCTGTATCAGACGCTAAAAGCGAGTTGTTTACTTGCAATGGATGTTGCAACAAAAGATTTCATGTGATATATTTGAGTGCTCCTAGAGGATGGTACTCCTCTTTTCTGGCGCAATATTCAATAAACAAAAAGATGAGTGCAAGTTATATATCCTCTTCCAGTATAGACAACACTTCAATACTAATTAAGCGACACCTTTTATTTTCTTTATTTTGTTATTCTAATTATATATCGCATTTCAATATAACTCAAAATATACTTTTTGTTTTTCTTGTCTTGTTTTTTTTTATTATTTAAATCACACATGTTGGCTTAAGCCGTCGTTACTAAGGGTTATGTTACGTAAATAATGAAAATAGAATCTAATATTACAAACATTTAAAATAATATTTTTTTTTGTTTCTTGTATAAAATTTATGCATTGAAATTATCGCTTAATAAACTATTCCGTATGAAAATATTTCTAAAAAAAATAAAAATCTAATAATTTCGTGTGAAAAAATTTCTAAAAAAATAAAAATCTAAAAAATAATTCTTTTCAGCAAATTGGTTTGCTAATTTAAAATAAAAAATGAAAAAAGTAAAAACAAATTTTGTTTTTAAATATTTTTTTTGTAAAAGCAAGGAAAAATTATAACTTGGATTAATTTTTCTTTTCTTAAATCAAGAGGTGTCAAAAATTTATTGTCAAAGGATCAAGTTTAAAACAAAGAGTTTTTGCAGCGAGAAAAAACTATATTAAATATTTTTTGAAAAGTGGATATATAATTAAATTAAGTTTTTATTTTTTTTGTAATAATTAAAAGAAAAAGAAATTAATAGAAGAATAAAAAAATAACAATTAATATTAAAATTGGGTTCTAATAAATATAAGAAAAAAAAATTAATTAATAAAAAGTAACAGGAACTTTTTTGTGATTTGTTAAAATAACAAATAATACAAAAGTGGCGCAGTCGGTAGGATACCGACACTGCTCTAATATAATAAAATAAAAATAACAAATCGAAATATAGTTAAAAATTAAAAAAAAATAAAAAACGGTTCGGGAAAACAATATTTTATTAACTTTGAAAAAAAAAATAAATAAAATAAATAAGTAGTGAATTACAAAAAGAAACAATTAATTTACTATACTGTATTCGAGTTATTAACATTATTATACAAAGTGAACAGTGTTACTTTCAAGTATTTATCGGTAAAAAGAAATAAATAACCTATTACTTATACTAAATGAACGATTCTAATTTAGACGGAATTGCATTAACACTTCAACAATTAAAAATACAAAATAATAATCATATTTATACAAAATAATAATAATTAAAAATACAAAATAATAATAAGAAGTGTCCCAGAATTCACCGGTACTAGACACTACGAGGTATCCAACTTCATCAACGAAGTGAAGTCGTTAACAGGGATGTTAACCGACGGAGAACACAAAAAATATGTACTGAGGATATTGCTCGGAAAAATCCAAGGGCAAGCGGCGATATCCATCCGGAGACTCAACATTCTGGGAAGACAATATCTAAGTTCATTTCATATCACCTAGATCCCACACGGGCAACTTTGACATTGAGAGAGTTCATGGAACTCTTAACGAACATCTTAGAATCTTTGAAACAACAAAATGCAAACTAAATACAATTCATAAAGTTTTTCTTGCGGTGGAAAAATATAATAACTCAATCCACTCGACAATTGAAGTTAGACCACTTGGTATTCTAAACGGTAAAGTTTCAAACCTAGAATAAATTAGAAATTTAATTCACAGAAAAAAAATAATTAATATAAATAAGCTAAACATTAATAGAAGTGAATTCAAACCAGAAGACTCTGGCAAAATTTTAGTTAAGAACCCTGAAACTGAAAGGTACAAAACCACCCCAAGGTATATTCAGATCGAAAGCCGACGGCAAGACAATAAGTTCATAGATAATAATAATCGTAATATTCATCCTTCTAGAATTAAAAGGAAATTTAAATTTATTTCAGGTCAAAATAAACGCTGTAGGCACACAGCTACATTAGTTATCCCTCAAAGCATATTGTTACGTCACCACCATGTTTTACTCTGCATGACACGCTGAGTAAAACAGAATTGCCCGGGCATTCATCAATAAATTCAAATAAAGATTGCCCTCTACCGTTTCAATAAATAAAACCTTTACTTTAACATTTACTTGTTGTTATTTTTGACTAATAAATGACAACTTTTTCTTTTAACGTAATACGTTATGTAATATCCATTTGCAATTCATCGAACTACCTAAATTTTAATTTAATTGTAATGAGACACTAGCATTGCGCAAGTAATTATAAAAAAAATAAAAAAAAACATTTTTATTAGAATAATAAATTTTAAACAATAAGTGAAAATTGCCAATCAAGCAATTTTCACTTTTAATAAAAAATAGTATTGGAAATAAAATCGTGGATAATTTTTAAGTAGTTAGTTCGTAAGTGACCGCCAGTGGAAATGATAATCATAATAATAATAATAAAAGCTTTAAAACAAAAAAAATTTAAAAAAAGAATTTTGAATAAAGAAAAAATTCCACAGGTAAAAAAAGAGCAAATTTTTATGCGCAACCTTTTGAAATACGTAAGTGGCGCAGTCGGTAGGATAATCTGTAGTTTTTACGCTACCGTTTATGAAATCAATAGGTTTTCTACCTGTAGAGGAATGGATTGTTTCATTGTAAGTTTTAACACTTTTTATAACTGGATCTTCGTCCATAGGTAAATTTTCTTCCTTTTGTATTGCGTATAAAATTCTGATATGTTCATTTAACGTATTGTGGAATCTTTCGATATCCGCATTACCCGAGTGGTTATTGGGTGTTGTAAAATGTACCGCAATTCCTTCATTTTCTAAAAAGTTTTTGAAATTTAAACTGTTAAAGCCCTTTTCCTGATCTGTTATAATTTTTTTAGGTTTGCCAGAAGATGAGATGTATTGCATAAAGGCATTTCTTAAATCTATCCAATTTCTGGACTTAATTGGTATTACATGTGCATGTTTCGAGAATTTGTCAATTACTGTTAGGTAAGCATTTCCTTTGCTTTTAAACCAAATATCAAGGTGGATTATTTCTAGTGGTTTGTGAGGAGTCTCAGTAATTTTTAGTGGTAGATTTAAGGGTTTCCTTTCATATTTTGCTACATTGCAAATGTGGCAATTATTGAGTAATTTTTGAATTTCTTGTTTTAATTTTGGATAATAATATTTATTTTTTAAGCTTTGATAAACATTATTTATACCTCTGTGATTTGTTTTTTGGTGTTGATCAAGAATTAGCTCTTGTAATTCATATCGACATAAAATGTCTTCAAGTAAAAACGAACACTTATTTAATTTTAACGATTTATTTTTTTGAAAAATGCTTTAAGTAAACATTTTGAAATTCATTGTAAGTTGGGAGGTCATCAATCATTATACCAATTATTCCCTTAGGTGGTATATGATCTTTTAAGATTTCAATAAATAAATTTTCATCCGGTTTAGGATGGTTAAATATTTTTCTTGTTCTATTATGAATTTTTTTTAATTTTAATTTTTATTTTCGTTATTTATTTCAAATTTCACCTCAACACTTCAAAACCCAAGCTAAATGTTGTTTTTAACAAAATCCGCACGGAGTCGGATCTTAAGGGCGGAGGTGTTACGTCACCACCATGTTTTACTCTGCATGACACGCTGAGTAAAACAGAATTGCCCGGGCATTCATCAATAAATTCAAATAAAGATTGCCCTCTACCGTTTCAATAAATAAAACCTTTACTTTAACATTTACTTGTTGTTATTTTTGACTAATAAATGACAACTTTTTCTTTTAACGTAATACGTTATGTAATATCCATTTGCAATTCATCGAACTACCTAAATTTTAATTTAATTGTAATGAGACACTAGCATTGCGCAAGTAATTATAAAAAAAATAAAAAAAAAACATTTTTATTAGAATAATAAATTTTAAATAATAAGTGAAAATTGCCAATCAAGCAATTTTCACTTTTAATAAAAAATAGTATTGGAAATAAAATCGTGGATAATTTTTAAGTAGTTAGTTCGTAAGTGACCGCCAGTGGAAATGATAATCATAATAATAATAATAAAAGCTTTAAAACAAAAAAAATTTAAAAAAAGAATTTTGAATAAAGAAAAATTCCACAGGTAAAAAAAGAGCAAATTTTTATGCGCAACCTTTTGAAATACGTAAGTATATATTCGCTGGACGAAATGTTTGAAGGGTATATGATGTGGAAACACTTGCTGCTTACATTATTGCTTACACCATTACGTAGAATGCAAATACACTATAATAGATTACAAAAATATGTATTGAATAATGAAATAAATCAGTCTTGAAAAAGAACTCAACTAAAAAGGTATTTTAACTACGTCTACACTTGCTGTTATAATGGTGACCCCGAACGCTAAAAAAAATTTTACATTATAATAAAATAATATTTAAATAAAGTTAATAAAAGTGCATAAAATAAAAATTTTAAAATAAAAATAATTGAAAATTTTAGCCTTGCGTTAACATTTTATACATGAGCATGGTTGTTTCCATGCAGTGCATAATTCATGTGGACAATAAAATATAAAAATATAAAAAAATTATAAAATTTTAATAACTAATAATAATATATAAATAGCACTATAACTAAAAAACACAAATTTTACGATAAATGGCGACACACAAATTTCACACGAACATGCATATATAACGTGCGAGTTATATATATGCATAGCAACATAAATACAGGCAAACAAAGCAATAAAACTATGTATATTGACACTTTACCTGCTAACGATCAGAATTCAACATGTTTAAAAGATAAAGAAAAATATGATGAAATATTATCAGGCATTTCAAAGAAAGTAAGTAACATGATAAAATAAAGTAATTATGTATATTATGTTAAATTGAGACAAATGTGAAAAAAATGTGTTTTTTTTTTTTATTTTAGTAATAATAAATTACAAAATTGGTGCAGTCGGTAGGAAAATGCTAAACGGGAATTATCTAGCGATCGAACTTAAAAAATTTAGCGATACTAAAAAAAAATTCAGTAAATAACATTATAAACAGAAAACTTAAAAACAATAAACTCTGTTAATTAATATATAAAATAATATTAATAAAAGTGTTAACACTGAAAATAAAATAAAAATTATAAATAAAAAGAAGAGTTAAAATAAAAGTGGATAACGAAGAACTAAATAAAAGCTCGAAGAAACAAGCTTATAGTGATACTTGAAAAATATATAAAACAAATATACAGTGGAATCCGCTTATAGTCACTACTGTTTATAGTCATAATTCGGTTACAGTCAACAATTTCGTTGTCATCTTTTTTATTATATTTTCATGTATTTTCATTTGTTCATAGTCACAAACGTTTATAGTCACATACGGTTATTGGATCGTATTTTTTGTGAACCATATTGCTTAATTCATATATTTGACGTCGCTTATAGTCACATACTCTGAACGCCTTTTTTTTTAAAGCGGTAAGTAGTTTTACTACCTACTTTACGGCAAATAGTTTAATTACAATATTTGTTGTCGAATTTGTAGCGGCAAATATTGTAACTTAAATATTTTTTTCTGTCACTTTTGTGTATGTACATACATAGGTACATTATTTCCACAACAAAAATTTGTCATTAATTTAATTTGTAATTCAAAAATTTAAAATAGTGTTTGAAATATGTACATAGAAAGGTAATAAATTTTATTTTTTATTCTGTGTAAAATTTTGTAAATCTTATTTTAAGGTACATATAAGAATAAAAAATAATGAGCAAGAGAAAAACTTTAACAGTAAAGCAAAAAATCGAGCTATTGGAAAAAGCTAAGAAAGGCCAAAAAAGAAAATTTCTGGCAGCTGAATATGGATGTGATATTTCAAAGATTTCGAAAATCACAGGCATGGAAAACAAATTAAAAAAATTAGATCTACAAAATAAAAATATTTTAAGAAAAAAAATAAGATCTGGAAAAAATGAAGAAATTGATAAGGCACTAATCCTGTGGTTCGAACAGATGAGAAATAAAAATGCATTTATTAGTGGGCCGCTTATTATGGAACAGGCTAAAAAGTTTGCAGTAAAATTAAATATAGACTTCGATCCAAATACAGGCTGGCTAAGCCGATGGAAAAAGCGGAACAATATAATATTCAAAAAAGCACACGGTGAAAAAAGTGCTGCAGACGTAGATTCTGCAAATTATTATCAGTCGACGAGTATTGCTCAAATTTTAAATCAGTATGAAACTAAAAACATTTTTAACGCAGACGAAACAGCTTTGTTTTACAAAGCCATTCCTTCTGGAAGTATGTCCTTTAAAAAGGATTGTATTTATGGAGGTAAGAATCATAAAAATCGTCTTACACTATTGTTTATTGTTAACATGAGTGGTTCAGAAAAATATTCATTTGTTATTGGGAAATCCAATAAGTCTCGGTGTCTACGAGGGAAAAAAATACCTCTGCCGTATTATGCAAATAATAAAGCTTGGACGACAAGCAAGATATGGACATGTATATTAAAAGAACTAGACGATAACATGGAAAACCAAAAACGTAAAATTTGTTTGATTGTGGATAATGCAGCCTGCCATAAAATTATTGATAACGTGCAATTAAAAAATATTAAAATAATTTTTCTGCCAGCTAATACAACCAGTTTAATTCAGCCACTTGATGCTGGAATTATTAGATCTTTTAAAGCATATTACAGGCAGGATATATTGAGAAAGCAGCTAGCAGCTGTAGAAAAAAATAAATCATTGGAAGAATTTTCAAAATCAATTAATATTTTGAAAGCATTACACTGGATTAAAAAGGCATGGTGGTTGGTAAAACCAGCTGCCATAGCGAATTGTTTTAAAAAATGTGGTTTCCAACCAGATATAATAGAACAAGAGGTAGAGCAAAATATTGTTATCAATGTTCCTGCTGATGTAACCGAAACCGATTTTGAATTTTTTATTGATTTCGATAAAAATGAGCAATGTTTTGGAGAAATGAATGATGATGAAATTTTAAATGAAATTACTCTAACGGAGCAAAATGATAACTCAAAAGAGGAAGTAGAAAAAGAAAAACCAGTTCGTAATGTGACTAAAAAGGAAGCCCTTGTCGCTTTGGATACAATACAACTCTATTTCGAGCAGCACGGTGAAAGTACAAATTTAATTGATGATGTAGAAAACAAACTTTTAGATCTTTTAATTGAAACAAAGCAAACCAAAATAATGGACATTTTCAATTGAGAAACTTAATAAAATTATGTGTGATGTTATGTGATATGTACATGTAGACGTTAGATTTGATCCCTTAAAGAATTTTTTGAATATTGTTTTGTTTTAACATACGTACTACATATGTAAGTATGTATATGAATTTTTTGTTTTTGGTTTTCTTTGCGTAAAGTAAATGGGTTTTTTATTTATGTACATAATCATATAAGTACTTAATTTAAAATTAAATTTAAAAAAAAAATAAAGTTTTGAGTTTTATTTATAAATTTTTTTTTCTACTGACGCTTATAGGCATATGATGCTTATAGTCACACATTTTTATGAAATTTTTTGTGTGACTATAAGCGGACTCCACTGTATATCTATATAAATTATTGACATTATAAAGTGGTCAACCTAGAATAAAATTAATTCGTAGATACAAGCTTACACAGGTGACAATAATAATTTAATTAAAAAAAAAAATATATTTTTTAATTAACGGACACATTTAATGAATATAAACAAATTTGATATAAACCGAAGTTATATAATGGCATAACAATTACGAGTACAACAACAAGTGTTAAAACAAAATAAACGGATAGAAACCACAGCCATGCAAGAACTCCATGCCCAAAATGTACAAAATAATTATAGGCAGTTAGACTTTGCAGCTAGGCAAATAAATTATATGTCAATATTTCGTAGATTCGTAGATTCTAAGGGAACCGAGTGGGACAGGAGCATCCCCCCAAGCCACCGCAGCCATTTTTGACTTATTGTAGCCACCCCACTCTCCCGTCTATAATATCCCCGTCCCAATCACAAAGCCGGCGATATCCCTAAGGGAGTTGGACAATAGTTCCCGAACACTTAGGGACCCATGTCCAAGACAATTGCGGCGCCGAACAGCCAGTGCCGGACAGTCGCAGAGAATGTGCACGGCGGTTTCATCGCCACCCCCACAAAATCTGCACAGGGGGGAGCCCGACTTCCCCAGCCTGTGCAGGTGGTATTTCACCGGGCAGTGCCCCGTGAAGAAATTCGCAATAGTGCGAACCCGGCTCCTGCTCATCCCCAGCAACTCCGCAGCGAATCCGCCGGAGCACGCCGGAACAAACACCTTCGCATGACGGCACCCCTTCGTGTCCCGCCAGTGACGACTGCATTCCGCCGCGAGTAGGCAGGCAAGCCTGGCCCCCACGGCAGAAGAAGGCAGACCACAGAAAGGCAGCGGCTGCACAAAGGCAGCCCCAGATCCCCTCCGCGCCAACTCATCGACAACTTCGTTGCCCGCATGGCCACTATGGCCCGGCACCCAAATGAGCATCACTCTGTTTTCCGATGCCAATTCCATAAGTGCAGCAAGGCAGCTCCAGACCAGCTTGGATGTAACCTGAGCTGAACGGAGCGCCAGCAGTGCAGCCCTGCTGTCTGAGAACACATAGATGGTGCGGTTTCTATACCCCCTTTCCAAATGGATTCTCAGACAGATTTCTATTGCATGTATTTCGGCCTGGAACACTGTGCAATACGGGTCAAGGGTTGCATATAAGTTAACACCCTATAGTTTCTTTCTCAACGATTAGCTACACGCGCCGTCCAATTTTAGCTAATTCAACATTTATTTCATTTTATTTCTCACATTCTTTATTGCAACATTTTTTATGCTGAAATTAACTCAACTAACTGAAAACGCATCATCAGCATATTTCAACATCATGAATGAAGCGCGAGTTACATCCTTACCTAACACTAACGCATTAAATAATATTGTACCTACTTATAATAAAGTAACAGATATTTTAAGTAAACAAAACGAAACATGTCTTGACAAAAGAACAAAGAAAGATAATAACATTATCTAGGTAGACCGTTATTGATGATTGAAACAAAGAATAATAAAAAAGACCATCATAATAAAGATTGACAATAATATTAGTATTTTAAAATGTAAAGAAGTTAAGAATAAAGATAAGGATAACCTACTGAAAACAATGTTAATAAACAAAATCAAGAGTCAACATGTTGTCAAAACAAATACGATAAAGTATTAGAAAAAGTAAATAAACAAAGTAATAAAAACATGTTTATTCTTGATATTGAAAAACATTAAATTTAAGAAAATGATAAAGAATAAAATATACTTAAATAAATATGACAATATAAAAATATTCCATGTTATTCCTGATAGATAAAATAACAATTTTGTAAATGATCTTGAAAACAAAAGATTGTCTATTAATAATAATAAACAAGATCATAAAATTAAAATAGTATAAATAGAGAAGAAAAATAGTTTTAATTCAGTAATAGTCTTCAATTCAATAGAGTAATAGTCTTTAATTCCTAGTTATAAACATAACGTGTAATTTCTCAAATTCAGTTCTTGTATAAAAGAATACTATAATATTGTTAATAAAGAAAATAATAATAATAAATAAAAATTAAATATAAAATAAATTGTGTTCTAATAAATTATTAATAAAATATTGTATTATAAGGTTTTGGTAAAATAAAAATAAAAAGAATAAAAAAAAATATATTTTATATATTTTTTTTTTATAAATTCGGTTACGTAAATACAAAAGTGGCGCAGTCGGTAGGATCCTCTACCGAAGTAAAAGGATCTAGTGATCGAACCGATTTGCATATTTAATTAAAATAAAAACATTTACGGACACAAAGTAAAATCATTAAAAATTTTTTTTTACGCAGAAACGAAGTAGTGAAATTAATTATTTTATGCCAAAAAATAAAAAAAACAATAAAAATAACCAACCTTACATAAAACACTTAAGTGACAATATTCTAAATATGTTTTCGCAAAACAGTGATACAAAACCAAAGTTGACCCAAAAAGAAGGGCAACAAATTGATCTTCAACAAGAAGAACAAGGTTCTGCACAACAACAACAACAACATATAAGTGAACAACAATTTATGCAACAATATCAACAAATGGCTATTCGACTAGAACAACAAGAACGAGAACTCACAATATTAAGATATACAACTTCAACAGACCATACCAGAAAGGAAATACAATACTTGAGACCATTCAGTGGTGAGGACAATTACTCAATTACATCTTTTATCAACTCCATCGAAGATACTATCAACATCAGCTCAGACTCAGCAACTTACAGGCAATTTATAAAAACCATTTACAACGAGAAAATAACAGGGATAGCAAAACGGAGAATTCTTGACATCGAAGATAGGTGCGATTGGAAACAAATCAAAGATCGACTCAAAAAGGAGTTTAAACCCACAACTCAACTTACAGAGATATCAGCAAAAGCTTTTAATATGAAGGTATGTGATATTGAAGATTTAATTTATAATTTCGATAGTTTAAGAAGTCAAGCACATGAGTTATATCATTTCTCCGAAAAATCAAATGTGGAAGCAAGTCCACAAGTTATAGACCACATGTTAATTTTAGCTATAAAAAGAATGATAGGCGGGTTAGGTCAAAGATTCATTAGCGAAATAAATAATTATCAAGACTTAAAAGACGAACTTTTAAAAATGTCAGACTGTAATGAAATAATTAAGGGGGAGTTTAGAAAAACTTTTAATAAACAAAATAAAAACTTTAGAAATTATAATAATCAACAAAGCAATAATTTTAATAGTAGATACAATAATAAAAGTGTGGGAATAAATCACGGAAATAATAGTTCCAATAATCAATTTGATTCCCCACAAAACAATGGCTATAATAACGTAAATAGATATCATACAAATAACTACCAAGGACGAAACTTAGACTATACAAACCGACAAAACAACCATTTTCAAAATAAAAATTTTAACAGAAATAATAACTATCAAACTGGACATTACTCTGGACATTTTAGACAACAAGATAATAATAGGTTTGGACAGTTCAAAGACAATTCAGGTCAGTATAGACAAAGAACGAATTCGGGTCAATTTAGAAATAATCCCACCAGTCGGAACCATGAAGGTGTCGAACCCATGGAAATAGAAAATATTGAAGGTAGTTCACAAAATTTTCGGGTGAAGCCTCAGACAATAGATTACCCATAATAAAATTAAACATAGAAAATAAGGAAATTAAGTGTTTGGTTGATACGGGATCAACAACTAGTATAATACGTCATGATATTTTAAAATACCCAAAAATAAAACTCGAAAACCCTCTAGTATATTCAACAATTAGCGGAACAAATACAATTTCTCATAAAATAATTACTCCTATTCCTAAAGAAATGAAACAAGTCGGTAATATTCATTGGAAAGTAGTGGATTTATCTAGTAGGTCATATGATGGAATAATCGGACAAAACGTCTTTAGTAAATTGAGAGCAAAGATAAATTTAGAAAAAAAATTTGTTGAGATAAATGAAAATAAAATTCGATTTATAGATAGCGGCTATCCACACGAGATAGAAAAAATATTCAATATAGAAATTAATAGACCTTGTCAACCCATACTCGAAAAAATTAGTTTAGATCATTTAAACGACGAAGAGAAGTTAGAAATAGAAAATATTGTAAAAACATATTCGGATGTATTTTTTAAAGAGGGAGACAGATTGACTGCCACTAGCGAGGTAGTACATGAAATAATAACCACGACAAATCAACAAGTCAATACTAAGTCTTATAGGTTCCCTAAAATTCATGAGGAGGAGATAAATAAACAATTATTAGAAATGGAAGATCAGAATATAATAGTAAAAAGTAATTCAAAATATAATAGTCCTTTATGGATAGTTCCAAAAAAATTAGACAATTCAGGTGAAAAGAAATGGAGAATAGTAATAGATTATAGGAAATTAAATGAAATAACAATAGACGATAAATTTCCGATACCTAATATTGATGGAATTTTAGACAAACTAGGTAGGTCACAATATTTTACCACTCTGGACCTTGCAAAAGGGTTCCATCAAATTTTAATTAGTCCCGAGGATAGAAAAAAGACAGCTTTTCAAACACCATTAGGGTTTTATGAATTCGTAAGAATGCCGTTCGGTCTAAAGAACGCACCGGCT